CTTAATTCTCAGGGCTGGCCCTGGTACACATTATGTACAAATAACATTACTCATTAATCTTAGTTCCCAAATGTACTAAATAAGAAAATAAGTAACCACCAGTGACAATGGGTATGTTACGTTAAAGAAAATGGTTAGATGCAATTTCATTTTATCTTTTCCCCTATGATTTTTTAGTTTCTCTCTGTATTTCCTAGTCTATGTACTTAGCGATCACCGCTCATTTGTTGCAAAAAAACCTATCGACTGTCGTTAACCTTTCCTCTTTTTCTTCATTGTCGTCTGACGCTGAGAGGAAAAGGGCAAAAACACACAGTATAAGAAGAAGGGTTTTGGAGGTGTGGTGGAAGCAAAAATAAGTTTTTTGCCAAAACAATGCTTGAAAGCATGGTTATAAAAACCTGCTCGGCCCGACCAGTCGGGTCGGAAAACCGGCGGCCCGGACCCTTGACCGGGCCGGGCAGAGTAATTTTATAGAAATGTACTTGACTCGGTCAAAACCCGGTTTTGACCGATTTAACCAGCGATTTACCATGCCCGGTTGACCGGTTTCATTGGATTTTAGAATTTTCTTACAAAATTTTTGGGTCCAAGAGAATTGAATTTTGAACCTCTAAGAAAAAATAATGAATTCTTCACCACTTGAACTAAAATACTTTAATAATATTTGTGTGAAATAACTTGTATTTATCTAATGAATCATTTATAGCTTTTATAAAAATATTTTTTTAAAAAACTTTGGTCCAACCTTTTACATTATTTTATGAAAAAAGCTTGTTGACCAGACTTAAAAAAAGACTAGAAAACAGGTGTTTAAAATAATTGAGAATTTGTAGGCGGGAAACTCATTTCACTTGACAACTTTCCTCTTTCCTCCCGCTTTCCTATTTTCTCTTATCATCCACTTTCCTCTTTCGTCTGAGAATAAGCCTACTGTCGTCTTCAACATTTAACCTTTTTAGACCAGCTTCCCGGCCAGTGAAGCCGGCGTTGTCGAAAGGCGACCCGAAAAGAAGCTCCCATTTCGTCGCGAACGGCGACCTATTTCATCTTCCGTCTATAATTTCGAAAATTTCAAAAACCTGCATTAAAGGTAGCTTTGAATCAATTTTAATATGCTGATGGGAATATTTTTTCGGTTGGAGATGGATCAATGTTGGTAGCTTTGAATCAATTTTAATATGCTGATGGGAATATTTTTTCGGTGTTTATAAATCAATGTTTACCAAATATGAGTTTTTTGGTGTTTATAAACGATTGCTGAAGGAATGAGAAGTTGGGAACATTTATGAACTCATTTATGATCTTTTCCCGTAAGGAACGATTGCTGAATGAGAAGTTGGGAACGATTGCCTCAGTTTTTAGTTTATTGTGCCATTATTTTTATCTAGTTGAGTTTGATTTGGATATTATTAACTGCAATTGTTGCTTCACTATAAGATTCATAGTTGAGCTAAAATTTCGATGAACTGATTCTTGTTGGTTTCTGTCATTATTATTTATGACCTTCACCTTGATTTATTATAGATGTTATTTGAGTTATAATCGTTGAATACTCATCTGGACACTAATTGTTTTAAGTGAAGCTCTAAGGACCAGTTGAGCTTACTATCCCTATTCACTTAAACCTAAACATAGCAAATGAAATTATAATTGTGTTATATGTTGACTGAACATGATCCTTTTTTTATACTAGAATAAATTATGGACGACGTGGAAGACAAGCGTGACGATGTCGTGGTGTAATCTAAGAGTGAGAATGTTACGGAGCCCGTCGACGGAGTTGAAGGTGAAACATCTACAGGATTTGGTGTGATTGTGCTGGAGGTTGGAATGTTGTTTAAAACTGAAAAAGATCTGTACGAATTTTACAAGACATATGCTTATTCAGTGGGATTTCCAGTTAAGAAGTGGAATTCGAAAAGGGGCGACGATGGAGTTGTAAGATTTGTGACGTTGACATGCAGTTGGGAAGGCGGAAGAATCGGTAACACAGCGGTTCTCTGAAGTCACAACCAACAGTGAAGATGGGTTGTATGGCTAGGATATCTACATCGGCTGATAGTTTTGGAAATTGAAGAATTAACACTGTAAACCTTGATCACAATCACGAAACGACTCCTTCCAAATCCAGGTTATATCGATGCAACAGACAATTGAGTGCAGCTTTGCAACAGAAGCTTCAGGTGAATGATTTAGCAGGAATTCAATTGCATAAAAGTTACAACTCTATAGTCGTAGAAGCAGGTAGATACGATAACATGACTTGCATCGAGAAGGATTGTCGGAACTATGTAGAATGAGTTCCTATTTCATCTCAAGCTTGTGGGGAATTTCCGGTGCAACTGTGTTAATTGAGACATGCATCTTGTTTGGACTTCCATTGAGGTGGAGCAAGAAGCCGTTAATAGCCACCATGACTAAGACTTGGAAAAGGAGATGCAGCAGCAATTCAATCGTACTTTTCAAAAATGTAAGCACAATGCTCGAGATTTTACTTCAGTATTGATTTGTACGAGGAGTCGCGGCTGCGTAATGTATTCTGGATAGATAATCATTGTAGGCTAGCATACAAGGAGTTTGACGATGTTGTTTCATTTGATACCACTCATCTTATTAATAAGTATGACATGCTATTTGCTCCTTTCATTGGCGTAAATCATCACGGACAATCAACACTACTTAGTTGTGGTTTGGTGTTGAACGAAGATACATATACTTTTGTATGGATGTTCAAGACATGGCCGCAATGCATGCACGGTCAAGCTCCACGTGGTATTATTACCGATCAAAATAGGGCAATGCAAAATGCCATTCAGATTGTTTCTTCGACTACGAAACATAGATGTGTTTGTGGTACATTTTGAAAAAGTTGCCTGAGAAGTTTGGCTACCACGTGGATAAGGCTTCAATATTTGGGGTTATACATAGATTGGTATATGATTCGCAATCCAGTGAAGAATTTGAAATCGCGTGGAACTCAATGATTGATACGTATGGGTTGCATGACAATGATTGGCTATCTGGCTTGACGAGAACAGAGGATGTTGGATTCCTTGCTTCTTGAAGACCACTTTCTGGGCAGGGATGTTCACTATCCAGAGAAGTGAGAGTATGAATGCATTCTTCAATGGTTACGTGCATTCGAAAACTTCATCGAAGTAATTTGTCAAACAGTACGAACGTGCCCTTAGAAATAAAGTTGAGGAGTTTCAGGCTGATTTCAAATCATTCTCGTAAATGGTACCATGTGCAACCCAGTTTGAAATGGAGCAACAGTTTCAATCAGTGTATACCATTTCAAAATTTCGTGAATTTCAAGAAGAGTTAACTGGAAAGGTGTATTGCGATAAAGGTATCATGTAGAACAATTTTGAAGTTTTCTTTAACAAAAAAGGCTGTGCTTCATTTGGTTCAACTCGTTTATGATTTTATTATGTACCAGTATATGTTGCAATTTATCATGAGCTGCCAGGCTGTTGAACTGTCCATTTCAATATTTGGTTTGTTCATACATACTCGTAACTAAAGCGCTCAAGGAGAAAAATCTCACTTTCCCAGAAAATTTATAGATGAAATCTGCTGAAATCAGAATATGCTTAAACAAATTTACTAAACCTTAACATACAAGACAAATAAGCTACGTTACTGCTTGAAGATTGCAATACCACAGTTGGAGAAATGTTTATCAGCCATAGCAAACAGCAAAATAAATTTAAAATGAGGTCAAAGACAATGAATGACACAGTCATTGAATAACGAACTTCCATAGCCAAGGAGTTCATACACAAAATAAATTTACAATGGTTAATTCTACCACATTAGTCTTATACATACGAACATATTTGAAACAACCCGTTCGATCACGATATACTAATCAAGTTGCTTGCTTTCCTTTTGTATTCACTTGCACGCGTACTCTTTCAGTTCTGACATTGACGTTCAAGGAAATTTGAAGCTCTTCTTCGGCACTTATTCGAACACGAGACTGGAACGTACGTGTCATTTCTTCAACTATTTCATTCTTCACATGTTCACTCGAGTTTTCGCTATTGCATTTATATGGACCGTCTGATTCTCCCTTAACAACCTACTCCCAAAACCCACAATTCTCACTGCAGCAAAGGAATAATCTCCTTCTGTTTTTGGTATCCTTCTCTACTATGAAACATTTCTCAAAGCCATCCTTACATACTGTGCAAGGGCATTTCTTTTTGTAACCGGCAAAGAAGTTATCTTTAACTCTACAACCGTTACATATTCCTAAGTTCCTTCCTGTCATTCTAAGATTGACATCGACCACCAACAAAAAAGGTTAATTGAGTTTTATTAACTTCATATTTAAATACTAAGTTATCTCTATTCACCGCAGGAAGCAGTAACAAGAAGCCCACAATTAAGTCGCATTTCCTATCCCCATCTAAGTTTGTCTCCTTCCTCAACTATGATTAAAACCATAGAGCTCTGTTATTAAGTCTACACCAAGCTACCATAGTTCGACAATAAGCGGAAAATTGGATGTCATCTAAAAGACTACACAATTGTTCAACAAATTGCATAGTTAACTTTTCAAATTAAGCAAAACCGTATAAATTATAATTAGTCATAACAAAGAATTGAAAATTGGATTTTATCTACAAGACCACACAGTCGTTCAACAACAAGCATAGTGAATTTTTTTAATTAAGCAGAATCACTAGCAACTTGAATTTTCCCAACAAAAACAATCATTTATGCCTGTAAATTACCACAATAATGTACAGGGTTAAAGAACTCCATACATCCAACGACAAAGAATTTGAATCTATTAGTTTGAATCAAAAACTGAGACCTTTTATCTCGCGGTATGGTTGGAGAACTTTGAATGCGGTCGGAGATGGTGTGTTCGGAATTTAAGTCGACACCTTTCAGGCACGGTTCGAGGAAACTCTGGTCATAAGCGCAATGCGTGCTTTGAAACCGTGCGGCGAAACTTTGCTTTGAAACCGCAACGGTCGGAGATGGTTCGTGCTTCTAGCGCCGACACCATTCGAGACACGAGGAGCGCCGACAATGAGGGATTTTCTGGTTGTGAGCATAGATTAGGGTTTAGATTGTCTTTGGGGTCGATTTGTTTGGAGAATTATGCTTCTCTCATAGTCCTTTTCACATTAAGTTTCACAACCTTTTGTCATTTTATGAATTAAATGTCTATTATACCCTTAGTTTTATATTTTAACTATTTTCCGCTTTTTTGACCCTTTAATTGGTATCAGAGCCTAGTAACGAAACTAAAGAAAATTTTTAAAATGAATAGAAAAGATAAAATGATTCTAAAAGAATTACAAAATATTAATATTTTAACTAATACTAATCGAATTAAATTACAAGAATTAGCAACAAATTTAAGTATTAAATATAAATCTCTAAGAGA